GAAACGTGATCCCCAGCAACACAAATTGTGCTACAAATGTAATGAACAAACATGGAAACCTCTACAATCTCCTTATACTTGGGCGGGTTCGTCATGTTCTCAGAGATGTACTTCACGGTGTTGGACACAGTCTCTGGAGGATACTGCTGGTGCTCTCCTCCAAAGCCCGGCGCATTGGGCGGGGCATGATCGCCATAGCCGAAGGATTGCTTCCTCAAACTCCGAACTTGACTTCAACATAATTGACTTACTTTGCATGTCATGTAAGTTATGTGTCAAGGGCAATCCAGTCCTCATTTTCTCTCCATGTCCAGCCGCAGCACGCAGCGGACGTGCTGTCCGCAGCCCCAAGCGTCGCACAGAGAGGCGCAACATGTCTCGAGCGGCACTCAAGTGGTCACTCTAGAGCTGCAGCTGCGGCTGAGCCCAGAAGAAGGAAATAAATTCCAAATGTGTCGAGACTCAAACACTGTGCAAACATCAGCATCACACTGTTTCTCTTTCGGTGGTGCATTATATACGGTCCGTATATATGTATATATTCCTCTTTGAGGGGTTCTAGTGCATACAGTATCTGCGAAGAAGATTCAAAAAGTCCTTTGTCTGAGCTCCATGCTCAGAGTACGGGTGTAGACGCTCCTGATACCCGAATAGGGCTTGAATTTGGACACATCTCAATTCTATTGTGATTTAAGAATATTGTGAGGCGAGTCACGGTTGGCTTTATGCAACTGAAGAGAGCTCCAAAGCGACTTGGCCTTGGAGATGTCTTTTTGGGATGCTCACACGTCAGAAGCTCCAAGGGACTGGCCAGAAGTCCCAAAGCAAGATGCTGAACATCACCGCTGTGGTCAGGTCCATGATGATCTCGGATTTGCTTGATGCTACAGCTACCCAGGTCATTCCAGATCTACTCTGCTGTGAAGGAACGAGAACCAACTTCTCAACGTCCATTCTCGATGCAGAAACAGCTCATTCGGAAGAAAAATGAAGAAAAGCAAACCGCAGAACGACTTTGAGTTGCGAGCAGCTTCCCGATGCCAAGAATCTTCGCTCGAGAAAAGCATGATGAACTCGGCAGGAGAACGCTTCAATGCCGCTACTAGGAACAAGGACGCTACTAGGAACAAGTGCATCGCTACTAGTAACAAGTGCCTTACTAGTAGTAACAAGAAGCTACTAGTAACAAGTGCCTTACTACTAGGAACAAGGACGCTACGTTCGGGGCTCCTCTCAGCCCGAGGTTCGAAAGTTCCCCCTTCGGGCCCTTCGGACTTTGTCAAACAGCGCATCACTTCCACTTGAGATGAAGACTGGCATGATTAGCAACCAGGCCCCAGCCAGGAAAGCAAACCTGGGAAACGGCATGGATCAACAGCTTACAGCCAATGGAAGAACTTGGTTGAGCTATGTTGAGCCTCAGAATGAAGGGCTTCTTCTCCGCTGCATCTGATGCCTTCCAATCGTTCCAGGCTTGCTGAAAACCGATAGGGCTGTGAGATGTGCCATCTGTAGAAACACACCTGCGCCAATGTGAGGCCCTGATTCAGGCAGAAAAAGCCTGGCAAGGATTAAAAAGCATCAAATCTCCTCTAAAAGCAAATTGATTCTGCCTGCAACAGTTCTGCTAATCAAATACGGCCTCGGCTCTGCTCAATTCAAATCATCCTTAAGAGAAACATCCACTACTTGGATGATCTTGGATGTTTAGGCTCGAGCATGGCTGCCGGACCTCGCAAGACCCCGAAAGGGCTTATTGGGCCATCCACCTGAGCAGCTACGACGCTACGACCCCGACTTCCAACTGACCTGTTGACCTAGTCACTGATGGCCTTGAAGCCGCAAAAGAGCGTAGAGAAGAGGAAGGTGCTTCCAAACGATCCTGTCACCTGACACACGTTCCGCTATGTTCTGCTTGTGGAGGGATTGAGAAAGAAACTCGTCGCGACCCATTAGAGTACCGCATTACATCACCAAGGTCGACGAATACCTTGGACACCGTCCATGACTGGCGAATTGGCACAATATATACCTCTTGTGTTGTCACCGCGGCCTGCAGCGACTCAAACAAGCTGCGCCCGAACTGTTCCACCCATGTACATGCGTATGGGCTGAATCAATCCTTTGCAATGATGTTGTCCATGCACACCCACTCCACGTGGAGTCGGAGAGCTTCATGCAATTGACTTTAGTGGATACATGAATGGCCATGAATGATAAGTAGCTTCTTGTTCCTAGTAGCGTCCTTGCTCCTAGTACTACGGCCAGGAGCCCCTAGTACCGTCCTTGCTCCTAGTAGCGATGCCAGGAGCCCCTAGTAGCTTCATAAGGAACAAAAGGATCTTGGAGAGGGGAACCAAACGATGCCCTTTCCTTGTCAGCCCGGTCCCTGGCGCGATTTAGGCACCCTCATCAGCGCCGTTCTTTCGCCAGAGCCGATTGGGATGTTAGGCCTGACAAATTCATAAAGGAAAATATATTCGGACTAAAGGCCATTTGGTCATGCGCCTCACTACATAGACACCATGCACTAGCGCCACCAGGACAACCTGACACAGAACTGACGCATTGTTGAGTCAACTGAGAGATTTTGGCCACTGCAGGGCAGCTGCTTCTTGTAACATCACATTGCAAACGCGACTATGCTTGCGGCCCTCGGGCTCAAATCAGAAAGCCCCATGGCCATGGGCCCCCGCCATGGCCATCGTTGTGGACAAGAAGTCCAGGAATTGTGCCACAAAGAGGAGCATCCCGAGGCCTGAGAATCACGATTTCGGAAATACTTTTTGGAGTGAAGTGATTGACACAGGGCACCCATAGAGCAAACCAGATTAAAGCACCGCAGCGTCAAAACCCTTGGCGCCACACCCATCCCGTTGTGAGAGTAGACAATCAGGTGCACTGTAAACAGCCAAACCTTTTTCAGAATCACGATGCAGCGAATGCCAAGATATGCAGAGGCGTTCCGCAATGCTAAACAGCCTGCCTGAAGGCAAAACCTGTGACTAATTATTCTAGAGTTTCTGAGGGCCCTCACACGCACGCCAAAGAAAGCTGCGGCGGTGAAAAATAGGGCTGAAACGTCGTTGTGGGCCTCAAAGGGGCAATCAAACCCACAAGGCGTTGGACATCTTTACGTGACGAACCTTCACAAAGCTGTTCACAAAGCAACGCATGCTCTCATAATCTATCATGCTGTCTACCTCTTTAAGTCTCTGCCTGCCGCCGATGAAGCGTCCGCAAAGCCGAGAAGAAAGTGGGAGCCAACACCAAACAGAGCAAAGAGAGCCTCATCAAGCTTGTGTGGCTCCCTTTTGCTGCAAATCGTTGCTCTTTGTCATGCTTTCCTCTTCAGAATGTTGTGCTGATTTCCTGGTCACACCCCGTCCAAGTGGCCACATGTAGTTCTGCAGGATACCCTGACCAGAATCAAAGGGTGTATTGCTTATTTTCATGGAACTATCTAGCCTACTACATCCTATTGTAAACCAGCTGGCCTGCTCAGCACATGCGAACTGTTGATCAAACATGGTGGCAGGGTTGGTGAATTCAACAATGTACCTGAAAAATATCGCGCACAAATCCAATTGTGCAGCGCATGGAGCCCCTAAGAAATCCAGGAATTCAAATTCAAATCATTTCAAATCATGTCTTGACATCGGCTTCAATCAGAGAACTCATGCATAGCTCAGGCTGCTTGCTCAAGGGGCCCCCCCTTTTCCACGGTCAAAGCTTCGTCCAAAACGGGCCACACTCTGAAAGCGCACCTTCAGATGCAGCTGAGCAAAAACCATCAATGAATCTTAAAGAAGATTTGTAAGCGTAGTACCTTCCTTGCTCCTAGTAGCGATGCCAGGAGCCCCGAACGTAGCGTCCTTGCTCCTAGTAGTAAGGCACTTGTTACTAGTAGCTTCTTGTTACTACTAGTAAGGCACTTGTTACTAGTAGCGATGCACTTGTTCCTAGTAGCGTCCTTGCTCCTAGTAGGTTCAGGATGTTGGCCCAATTTCTATGACGCTCCTGTGGAGATCCTGCCCCTAAACAAGTCTCGCAGGCAATCACTTTGCAAGGCATTGAGGGGCAAACACCACCGTTTCACAAAGGGTCTTTTTGGCAGCACGCAACCACTCAACGGACCCAGTTCGGTGAAACAAGCCTTTTGGATCTACGTTGGCCACTTTCCTGCTCCATCTGGTTGCTATATTGCTTTCAGCTGTCCTCTGATTAGCTCTTGTGTCCTTTTTGTCGACCAAGACTGGCAAAACTGTCGACTCTCTCAAGCTCACATGTCGGGTGCGGCAGTATTGATCACTTGGGAATGCCTGGGCGCAGGCTGTCCAGGTGGCAGTGTGAAGTATTTTTCACATGCGGTCTGCGGTGAGGCTACATCTAAGGGGTGTCCACAGGATAAGTGGATCGCCACACGAGATTTGTTTCCCTTTGCCTGGCTCATCTCCAAGCGTTGCTACCAAGTGGCCTTGACATCGACGGCCCACTTTGCCGCTCAGAATGCCTAAGCCGTGCAATGCTCTCTTGCAAAAGGTGTTTGAAGAATGAGTACGCCAAGTCAAAGCAGAATACACAAAACCAACATAAATGTCATGGAAACTGTCCAGGCAATTGTTGACAAACCAGGAGACTGGAGATGCCTTGCCATAAACCTTCCTTCTCAAAGACGTCCGGGAAAGCCTTCCTTCAAAAACGTCGAAGTCGGAAAGCATCAAGCGCGGCAAACAGCACAAAACCATTCTGATGCTGTGGCATGAATGGTAACGAATTCAGTTGACTTCACTTGGCTTATCATGCGCTGAGAAGAGCAAGCGTCATCATCGACCAAAGGAAGATGAAAAAGAGCTGTGCAACGAACGCAAAGCCCTGCTCAATGCTGATAGGATCGCTGAAAATCGCGCAGCCGGCAACAACAATGAATGCATCCTGGCAAGAATTGCGGGTGTCACAAGGCCACAGAGATGAGTCTAACGTACACCACAGCCTGACCAACTAATTAGCTCTTTGAATCAACAAAACCCTCGAAAATATTGGGAGGCCATGGTAGTAACAATGCAGGGATCCTATCATTCCTTGACAAAGTGGTTGTTTCAATGTCCTGACAGAAAGGCCTTTTAAAGAGGCCGACCCAGTAGTCAAATGATTTCTATTTCGGATTCCTGCTCGTCACCACTTCGTCCCCGCTTCCATGACGGGTTGTCATCCCATGTCCTTGATAAGGTTGGTCAGCAAAAGTGACAACGGTGACCCGTGCTTCAGGAAGTTGGCGGTAATCACATTCAGCAAAAAGGCCACTGCAACGTTGCCTTCAAAGGTTCAGAGTCTAACTGCAAACAAACTGTATGTTTTCGCCTGGGCGTTTCAGTTCCTGTTCCTCTTTCAAAGTGCTAGTGATGACTTATCCCCAAGCGGCATTTCACACCAAAGCCACACAGGCCTACCAAAAGCCAGCTACACTGTTGAAAGGTCTCGAGGCTGGGAATGGCCGCAAACTGCGCAGCATGCCAATGATTGAAGGAGCCAAGGAGTACTGGCGCCGAGGCGGCCGAACAACCGTGAGTCAAAGGCTGCCGAAATTGGACCAAACATAGACGTCATGAACGTCAAAATGTTGAAACATATCCTGCCACCTGACTGTTTTTTTGGCTTCCAATCCCTTTCTCCTGCTAAGCACAGACCGCAAATTGGAGATACCACGGCCACAAATGACAAAGGGTCCAGTCTTTCTGCGCCTCACAAACAAAAGAACACAACACGATAAAATTATGATTGTCTGCAGCTATGCCCACAGTATACTAAAACTTGGAAGGGTCGGATTTGGCGTTGTCTGAGGAGCAAGCCTGTCAGCAATATACCTGTGAGAGGCACGTCATCAGAAAGTGCATCTAATTGCCGGCTGTGCCACAAAAAGTCAGGTTTGGTGACAGCAGCCAGGCCAGGCCTTGCATTACCACCCTGCATGACTCCGCAAAATTGCCGCAGAGCTGCGCCAACAACCTACAGATTCTGTCTTGCGAACAACGGAAAGAGGTTACTGCACAAGTAAAAAATATACACACACAAACATGCAATATACAGTACATGCATATAAACGTGTAAATATACACATATATATATATATATACACATCCGTGTGCGTGTGTGTGTGATTTGTTGGATTTGGCTTTGTTTTTTCATTTTCGGTTTGCAGAAGGGGGTGGCAGCAAGAACAAGAGTCTGCCACAAATTTTCGTTTTCCTGGCGCTATTGGGGCTGATCATCCCAGCGTACCTGCGCCGTATACTTGAGAACTTCGAGTGCGTCGGCACAGGCACAGGGGGGCCGCTAAATCTGTGGCCTCAGTTGACCCAGTTGAACAGGGTGTCCCAGTTGACCCAATTGACCCGGTTGACCCAGTTGACCGAGTGGACCCAATTGACCTCAACTGGGTCCAGAGATTTAGCGTGGCCGCCTGGTCAAGTCGACCACTGCGACTACAACGCGTCAACTGGGTCAATTGGGGTCAACTGGGTCCGCAGATTTAGCGTGCCCTCCTGGTCAATTCGACCACCACGACTACTACTGCTACTACTAGGTGTCAACTGGGTCAAGTGGGTCCATTGGGTCAACTGGGTCAAGTGGATCCAATGGGTCACCTGGGTGATCTGGATCAACTGGGGTCAACCGGGTCAACTGGGGTCAGCTGGGCCCACTGCTACTACTAGGTTGTTGTCTGAACTGAATCCAGAAAGATCACCCATCAACCTCAACATGGGATTCCTGGTGTGGAGTGTGGCTTCTATGTGTTAGATCATGTTTTCATAACTCATTACTGTTGTTTACGCGGTTGTTTTGTACTGAGGTTGATGGACACTGCCTCAACTGGCTCAGGAAAAGTCTTCAACCAACCTCAGCACGGGACACCTGGCGTTGAGCTTGGTTTCCCATGGTTAGACTATGTATTTCTACGCGTCAATGTTGTTTATGCGGCCATGGTCGACTCGATGGAAGAAGGAGTCCTAACCAAGCTCAACACAAGATGTCTGGTGTTGATCTTGGTTTCTAGCTTTCTTTGCGTAGCTTTACATAGCCAAGTCGCTTGCTCACAGGTCGTCGGTAGATCTAGGGCTATCTCTTGACTCGCAGGAAGAAGCGGTCCCCAACTCAACTGTTGGCTTCTGAAGTGGATCAAGCTGGATCAACCGAGGTTGTGATGAAGACTGTTATTGAACTTCAACAAGTAAGGTTCCGAATCAAGCTCTACACGGAATGTCTGATGTTGATGTTGGTTTCCATTGATTAGGTCATGTCACATGTCTTTATAGCTCCATGTTGCCACAGATGAGGATGGTTGGTGTTGATTTAAAGTACAGGCTTACTCAGGTTCCAGGATTCTATTTATGCGTTGACTTAGTTGTCTGTGGTTTAGTGGATAGCCTGACGGTCCTGACGATCGAACACGCAGCACCTGATCCCTGGTTTGGACCTGGAAAAGATCCACAAGTCGACCACGGGATCCTCACAGAAGCCGAACTCTGACCCTGACTCTGACCTGGAAAAGATTTTTATATACAGAAGAAAAACAATTCCAAATCCACAGCAGTTCGCACGAAAGGGGGGCAATTGGTGATTGAACCTTCCCCGGTCTGAGAGGTCCAGATCATCGATACAACTTGAAATTTAGCTCCACGCATGCCATTCGTTGGCCATTCTTTGACGGCCGTCTATCCATGCAGTGGCTACGCCTGTTTCACGTGGGGTGCCCAATGGAAATACAAAACCGATGAACTTGATAATAAGAAAAAAGATTTTGTCCAAGCTCAACACGGGAACCCTGGTATTAATTCTTACTGTTCAGACTGCCTTACTGTACACTTAGCACTGGTAGGGATTCATTTTTGATCGAGCATGCTCAGTATAGTAGTCGTTGCCAGACCTTGAACCCAGTGGACCCAAGTTGACCCATAAGCAGTAGTGGTAGTGGTGATAGTAGTGGTGGTGGACCCAGTTGGCCCAGTCGAACTGATTAGTTGACCCGGTTGACCGGGGGCGGGCTATATCTCCGGACCCAGTTGACCCCAGTTGACCCCAGCTGACCCAGTAGTAGAAGTAGTAGTAGTGGTGGTGGTAGTAGTAGTAGTCGTCGTCGTGGTGGTGGTGGCGGTGGATCCGGTGGCCACGCTAAATCTCCGGACCCAGTTGACCCGGTTGACGCGTTGTAGTCGCAGTGGTCGACTTGACCAGGCGGCCACGCTAAATCTCCGGACCCAGTTGACCCGGTTGACCCAGTTGAGGTCAACTGGGTCAACCGGTCAACTGGGTCCGAAGATTTAGCGTGGCCCCCTGCGCGGTCGCAATGAAAACTTCCCACTCGGTCCCGTTGTAACTAGAACAAGCGCACCGGCCTTTGCAGCGGTTATGCGTTCGGCAGTCATGCACTTGTCACTTTGGCTGAGACGACCACCTTACCTACACCTGTCCTGGCGCTGGCGTGTCGCAAACCACAATCAAGTCAGCACGCATTTCCTGAGTGTGTCTCTCCTTAGTGAGAGCCCAGGGTGTACCCGACAAATTTCCCCTGTGGCCCCGTTGAAAGGGGGTTTGTCTATGTTTCCACTGCTTGGAAACGGAACAGCTCGCAGCGAGCGCAGGACGCTTATGCCAATTTATTTGCCAAGACGAGGCATGACGAGTTATTGAATCTGAGTAGGCAGGTCTCGAGGAGGCCATTGGGTGACCATAACGGTCAAAGCTGCCAGCCAGTTTGGCACTCATACGTGGCCGCAGCGGCCGAAGTTCTCTCAAGACCCCTTGATGTCTGCTGGAGCCGTAGGTGCACATACACCGTGTACAATGTAAACGAGGCCAGGTCTCAGGTCTACCTAGGTTTTCTCAATGAGGTTTGGTTTCGTTGGTTTCCGGACCTTCCATCTGGTTCCCCCTTCCATCTTTTTTCCCCTTTACACACGTCTTTTCTTCCTCTTTCTTTTCATGCCTTTCTGTCTTCATGTCTTGGCATCTCATTCCTTCTTTCTCTTGCGCGCACATCTGCCCGGCCCTTAATGCATGCGCGCTCTTACACTTAAGCCCAGGCTTGAGGTTGCCCAGGTCTTTACAAGGAGGTTGGGTTCATTGGTTGTCCCTGGTCACTTGGTTTACTTTCATTGCAATCACATTGTCTGTTTTGTCCTCCTTTCATGTCGGCATTCGTTTGTCTGTTTTGCGCGGACACATGCACATTAGTCGTAGCCTCAGTTCTTTTGGCCTCCCTCAACGGGAGGCGTGTGTGAGAAACCCTTGGAGTCACAGGGATTGCTTTGAATTGGCTTTGCTTTTCTCAATTTTCAGTTTGCAGCAGGGGGGTGGCAGCAGGAACGAGAGTCTGCCACCAACGAAGGCACTCTCGTTTTCCTGGTGCTACTGGGGCTGATCATCCCAGCGTACCTGCGATGTGCTTGAAAACTTCCCACTCGGTCCCGTTGTAACGAGAACAAGCTCACCAGCCTTTGCATCGGTTATGCACTCGGCAAACATGCACTTGTCACTTTGGTTGAGATGACCACCTTACCTACACCTGTCCTGGATTCTTAGGTTTTTTACTTATATAGGCTGGCGTGTGGCAAACCGCAATTGAGTCATTACGCATTTCCTAAGTGTGTGTGTGTGTGTGTTGCCGTGTCCTCCGCTATCCATTTCTTTAAAGGTTACGATCCTCATCGCAAATTCAGTTGCCTTGTCTGCCATAGAAAGAGTCAACATGCTCAAACTGCTTTTAGATCTTTTAGCTTGTCCTAAAATGCTTCAGCGGCAACATGCCCCACCCTGTCAGCGAAAAGCGAAGCTCCCCGTTCACAGTGAACGCCGTGGCCACAACTATGCAAAGCAAAACCAGAGCCAAATTACTCCGAAACCTCGGGTGCAAAACACATGGTGCACTGAAAGGGTGCGGGGTGTAGCTCAAGAATATACAATTGGATACAGTTTGTTGCTGCAGATTGCCGTTCCACACTTCCCGTGCAATCTTCCTACAATATCCATTTGCCATGCAATTTCCAATGTTCCAATGTTCCTTTGCACCTGACCTGCACTACAGGGGATGAATGCAGTACAAGCGGTCAGCCAATGTTCCGCACGAGCTCCCTTTGCAGCGTAGTCACTGCTCCAAGCCAGCAAGGAGAGACAGGAAGAAAACAATGATAACGTTGCTCTGCTTCACCATCTGGAGAAATGGCACGCTCGCCTCACGCTGTACGAGTGGCCGCTCGATCCCTTCTCAAAGCTGTGAAGCTTGTGCAGCTTGTGCATGTCATTGTTGGCTAGTGGGGCACGTAACTGGGCAGTCTGTGTCAAGTGGCGTACTCATAGGCCACGTTGCTGCAAATCAAAGACGTTGCAAAGGCTAAGCCAACAGGAAGAACACGAGACCACAAGAAGGTGGCATCGACAGCCACCTGGCCAAACAAAATCTCCATCACAGCATGGAGAAATGGCAATCCTGAACTTACCCTCAAAAGAGAGAACCAATCACCGATTGAAAAACAAAAGCGACACTATTCCGTTCAAAACATCATTGTCGCTGCCGCATTGCCGCTGTACAATGCTGTCATCTCCCGCAAACTCTGCCTTCTTGTCGGGGTCCGTAAGAGCTGTAAAAAGAGTGGGCATAGCCATGTAAAGTCCACAGCTCAGCAGGGAGCCGCAGGACATGTGCAGTGAGACTAGCCTTGGCTTCCACACCCTGCAATCCACGCATCTGCATCTATCCACGATTGTGAGATGTTTCTTTGACTTGATGCGTCTGGACTATCGGCAAGCAGCACCATGGGATATGGAAACCTCACGGAAAAAGCGTGCATATAGAGAGAGAGAGGGACAGCGCAGCAATGGAATTTTAGGAGAAAACTCAAAAAGCGCGCCATGCCATTCACTCAAAAACCTCTATGCTCAGCCTTTCCACAAGTGTTGCCAGCGCCTTGATGGACTCATGAGGTACTTATTGTAGTTGATCAATGCGGCGGAAACCGTAATCAAAGCTATACTCCAAAAGGCCTTGGCAAAGCACTTGCTCTTTGCAAAACAAGAGGTGCATATCAATGATAGTCAAAATTACCCACAATGAGGCCTCAAATCCACACAGCACAAGATTCCCAAATCAAAAACACAGGACTGTGCAAAACGAGGAAATCTCTTCAAACAAATCGGTCCCATCTCGCCTTGACTGCCCAATTGCTTCGTGGCATGATTGGTTTCTCCACGACGCCCCTGGCGGCCTGTCACTGCAACATTGAGTGGTTTCTCCACTGAATCTAGGAACAAGTCATTAGTGTCAGCGCTTCTTCAATTCGAGGAAGCTCCCCCCCGCCACCCCGTCGCATTTAGCGCAGCGCAGGGAGCTTCTATGAAGAAGCGTGAGCTATCCTGCGTCCAGTAGCTAGGAGCTTCCCATTTCTAGCAGCTTGCTCCCTTCCTCAATTTAGTAGGTCCCTTGCTTAGTGAAGTAGGTGCCTACAAAAGAAAAGTAGGGGCGGGCTTAAAAGAAACACGGCTGAAAGGAATCGCGTTCCGCCTCATTGGCCGCCATCCCCTCCCTAAGCACTAATATGGAGTCGTAACTGACGAAACTGAGCCAAAGAAAGGGACATCACGATGAGCCGAGTACAAAATGCCAAAATCTGTCAAGATTCTGCTCAGAAACGACCCATACCTCTTGTTTGCCTCGATTCCCTGCGAAGCCCTATGCACTTCGAAGAACGTGCAAACCAAATCCAATTGCAGGATGTCGAATTCCACTTGACCCTCTGCCTATGTCTTAGACATCGCCGAGGAAGTGCTGTTTAAACAATTGGGGGCACTTTGGGTATTCACCCGTCATGCAAGCCTAGACTGTCAGAGTAAGCGTGGAGGCAGGCTCCAATTGGCGGACCTGCAGAATCAGTGTTTGGTGACCAAATGTCGAAAGTGTCTTGGAGTCCTATCTTGATGCAGTTCGCGTAAGGAAGAATGGTGACATGCCTTTCGCCTACAGGACCCGACCAGGGGAGTGAAACTCGGAGTGAAAAAACATAGTACATCTCAGCTGCTTCCCTCCGAGTCCCCACTTTAGTGGCACAAGTGCTTTTCATCAATCGATGCTATAAACATCATCAAGCAAAGCTTTGTTTGCCTTGGGACCTATCATGACCTATCTGTGCCAGCAATTCCTCAAAGCATTCAAAAAAATGTGTTCTTCTTTCTTCCTGGCTTTGGACTCTGCCGTGGCAAGCACCAAAATTCGGCGCTGGGCCCACTGATGAAGCGTGGGCCTTGGCTTTTCGACCTTCTGATGCTTGACCCGTCCAATGCAGCTACGCCAAACTTCGCTAAGGCCATTTTCACTTTCTCAGTTGCTCCAGCAGCGAACACCACAGCACCAGGACCCAAGGCTTCCACGTAGCGTTTTGCTTGATCCTTGAGCTTCCGAAGCATCATCTTGTTTTGAGAACCCGCGTGGAAGTTTTTGCACTCCAACCATGCAAAGGATTCCATCCTTGTACCAAAGGACAGCATTACTGGAGAGGAGAAATACACGTCTGGTGTCACCCTTGAGGTACCTCGCAGGTCCTCTTCTCGGCACAAGCTGAGACCAGCCTCTCGGCAATATTGCGCCACAGCATCTTCGAACTCCGTGGCTTCCTGATCTTGCCTCTCTGTTTGTGCCTCGATGTCGTTCTCACAAACCCAAACGAACTCCCTCAGCATCCAATCGCTCATTGAATCGCA